GCTATGCTGCACTATAGTATGCTGTACTATGCTATGCTATTCTATGATACGCTACTATACTATGCTATACTACACTATGCCATACTATACTGTACTACACTATGCCATACTATACTATACTATACAATACTATACTATACTATACTATACTATACTATATAATACTATACTATACCACAATAAATTTCATCTGAGTTTAAGTCTCAGTCTTTCCAGGTCCTACTGAGGACAACATCACAGGGGAAGGAGACACAGAACACAGTAGACTAAAGCTGAAACACGTACTGACTTCTGAAATATGCCATGAGAAAAGGCACAACAGCTCTATTTGGAAATAAGACATTAGAAAAGTAAGTAAGATACTTTTTCAGCAGCTTAGTTTAAGCTCATATGCAGGACAAGTGGAGCACATGAGAAGCTGTGTTGATCTAGAAGGTTGTGACCCGTGGCAGCTCCAGGGCTCGGTGGCTGCTGGACTGTGGTGGTTCACATCAGACGGTGGACTTTAGCTCCGCCCCCTGCTGCTCTGGTCTCTCTCCAGGCGAGGTGCGGCTCACCTGGACGAGCCTGTTCTCATCGTCTGAGCAGTTTCCTGGATGGACGGCTCAGCTACTGTGGAAGTTTAGCCGAGTATAATTACATTTAGTCTTGACCTCCAAAGTGAAAACAACAGCGGGAATAATGAATTTCAATTGAGACGACGACATTTTGACGTCGAGTTCACGTCGAGCAAACAGCAGGTGGATGCAATTAGAAGTTGATTAAGCTGCTGCGTCGGTGAGTAGCCTATCAGCTAACGCTGCCTTTCATTTAGATCAGGTTGTTTTCGCTGGTGCTTTGGATTTACAGGACACTAGTTTAACCCTGACAAGACAAATAATGTGTATTTGACAGCAATGGGGGAACATGTTTGTGAACGCGAGCTGCTATTTATTATTCAACAGTGTTCAGGTACACCTGAATTCATTTCCTCTTCTCGGGCACTTGATGAATATTCTGCCATTTGTTAAGTGCAAAGACAATGAAAGTAGAACTAGTAGAGCTTCCCATTAAGTGTTTTTTTCAATTATTACTTTGTTTCCTTGTTCTTTATAATAGGAAGACAAACAAGAAAGATTAACCTTGGCGCTTCCCAGTCTGTGATTTTATTCCTTGTCGTGTATATGAATAGACAATATGTTATAAACAACATGAAGCTGAACACAACAACACTAAGGACTTAAACTGTACAATATTCATATCCCTGACTCACTGCTAAACAGAAGCTAAACACTGTAAGCTTTGCAAAGAACAGATTAATTACAGGTATTCTCATAAATATGACCAGATGAGTTGTTTATGGAGCTGAATAGCTGGACTGTCTGTTGGTTTGACTTTTTTTTTTTTTAAATTCTAGCTCAGCCAACTCCTTGTTTTTTCCAGCGTTTCTGCATGGAAATGACCTGTATTTTAACCATTTTAGATATGGAGGAGTCCAGTGACTTATATGACTCGTCTGAGACAAATGACCCCCCTGCCTGGGAAGACCACCAGGCACAGCATCTGGACAATCTGGACGCAGTGGAGCGTCTCAGGAGGAAGATCAAATACTACTTCATGAACCCCTGTGAGAAATACCACGCTCGTGGACGAAAACCATGGAAGCTCACATTGCAGATCGTCAAAATTGCCATTATTACCATCCAGGTACATAGTAGTCTTAGATATAACAGAACCAGTTGTGATATATTTTTTTCTTGTTTCAACATCCTCATAACAAATGCCTTCTTTCCATCCCAGTTGGTGTCTTTTGGGCTGAGCAACCAGATGGTTGTCACATTCAAGGAGGAAAATCTGATGACATTCAAGCACCTCTTTTTGAAAGATTATGTTGACGGAGGCATGGATACGTATGCTGTTTACAGACAGACAGATGTTTATGATCACATCGACTACATTCTTAAACAGGTAACTGAATTTTACTTTTAGTGAAAAAAACCAATAAGGCATGATTCGGCTACCATTTGTTTGGTTGTGTGACATCGTTGATCTTTTCCTTTTTCTTTGTGTTACTGTAAATTATTGTTGAATTTTACAACTCTACATGCTTATATGGCCTCAAAGGCAACCTCTTGTCATGGGACTGGACTTTGTTCATGTCATTTGTTATGCTGTGATCCATCATGACACAGTTAATCTAATTTGCTGCAGTTACTGTCTTCATAAAGTTAGCTTTCCACCATGCACACATTTTTGATGTTCACCCAAATGATGGTTGACACACTTTTCAGTTTTATAACAAATTTTTTCATGTCTTAATTTCCAGTATGGACATCTGCACAACATCACAGTAGGCAATCATGAATATGAGAAAAATGGTAGCGTCTACACCCCGCTGACAGTTTGTCAGGACTACTACAGGAACGGTACCATCTACCCTGGAAATGACACCTTCGAAATTGATGCTCATGTGGACACTGGTAACTATGTTTAGTGTTTATAGAGATAATGGTAAACAGGGGTGGAGTGCTTCTTGTTTAGGTGGCAGAGCTCACCTGTGGTGCCCATGCACAGTCGTGTTGTGGCTTGCTTCTCAGGTTATGTAACCACTGTTCCTACGGTGGCAAGTTTATGCACATTAGTCTACTATAACTGACCACGGGATCAAATGTTACACTGACCCGTCAAATACTTCATGAAGTCATTATGTTGCAACTCATTTACAAAAAGAACGGCTTAACACTCTCATGTGAAGGATTATATCTAGCAGTCAAATGACTCTGGCAGACTGTGAGTCAACATTCTATTGAAGCTATTTTTGTGAACAATAGCGTTGCAACCCGACTTTAGAACCCAATGTTGATAGCCTCTAGCATTAATAGTGACAAATGAGGTATATAGACATAAATAAGCGCTTCAAATAAGTTTAAAGTTATGTTATTGTATTAGTAGTAGGTTTTTAGCTGGTCCAAAAATGAAAAGATTTTTCACTGCCTTTCATTTTGTGAATCAGCGCACCTTAAATGTCAAAATGACAACTCTGACCATTTTGCTTTTATTGACACTCTTGCTTGACATATGCTTTAGTGATGGTTGGATTTTCTGTTGCTTAAAAATGTAGCTGATATACATGACAACCAGATTGTGCAAACTGTGATATTCTGTTTCCTCACTTGGAGGGAAAAGTGACAAAATGTTGCTGCAGCGCGCTCTGGCATCGATGCTGGCAATATACTGGGAACACAACAACTTCCACCAATACTCGCAATACGCATACTCTTTTTTTTTTTTTTTTTTCATTGTGTAACCAAACTGAAGATGTCAACAGTGTGAAATACCACACAGATTATGAAGGAAATATTGTATATAGCCACTATATATGACCAACATCATCTTTAGATTCATGAAGTAGTCAACAACAGATGTGTCCATGTGCTTTGCTTTGTTAACTGATGGAATTTTTTTGCTATTTTAATGCATTTGAGACCAAATTGTGTTGACACACTGCAAATGCCTCTATTCATCTACCATAGTAATCCATCTTATAGCACAGGCACTCAATTAAATACAAATAAACAACAGCCCATCATTACTTTAAGGCACAAAGATCAGTCCGTCCAGAATATTTCTTCTTCAAACAGACTTCCATAGGAAAGGCAGACTAATACTTCTCACCACTGCAGAGAAGTTCATAAGCATTACCAGCCTCAGCAATCGGCAATATGAAGCCGGTTGACAGAATAAAGAGTGCACATCTGTTATCAAAGCAAAAAGAGGTGACTCCTCAGTGATTAATTGTGATGAACAGAGAAAGAGATTTCTCATCAGGTTTAATTTTGCTGTCATTTTTTTTTGTGTCTGTGTTGCGGCCTGTCTCTAACAGAGTGCTTCAAAGTGTATCCGATGTACAACCCATCATTGTATGAAGTGCTTCCAGAATTTGAACTGTATTTCAAAAGGTTTGTAAACCACGTTGTATTCTTCGACTACATTTTGTACCCTTGCAGTTGTATATGATTTGAAAGCCCATGTCAGTTTCTGTACCTGCTCTGTCTTTCAGGATGGTCTCTGTCAAGCTCACATTTGTTCTCAAGGCCATAAACTTGCAGACAGTGAGACATCGGGAACTGCCAGACTGCTACGACTTCACTGTTATCGTATGTCACTTGACCTGTCTTCGTGGCTCAGAAAACACAAGAGGATCACATCAGACTAGCAGTGATGTGACATATGTGATCGCTTCATTGCTGCCTTAACGTTGACACTGATTCCTTGTGACACTGCACCTGTTGACACAGCACAGATTGGAGTTCAGATAAGAAAAGTGAAAAGAGTCTGTGTGAATCCTGTCTTTATTAACAAAGCTAATTTGCGCACACAAAGAGCGTGTTAAAAGGAACGTGTTTGCACATGGCGGCTGCTGTTTAGACAGTTAAAGGTTAGCTCAGCAGGTGAATGTTAAGCTTTTAGGTTTGGCTTTAAGGATGTCGAGCTTTTTGAAAACTGTCTTTAATCTCCTTGAAATATTGCTATCTGGTCAACAGATAACTTTCAACAACCGAGCTCACAGTGGGAGGATAAAGATTGACCTGGAAAATGATGTGGACATCAATGAATGCAGAGACTGGAAAGTAAATGGAGCATGTAAGTTTGCTGATTTTGGTACTTACAAAGGAGTGTCCTGCATTGCTTTAAGCCCATGATGTTTCGGAATGCTTAAGAGTTAAGAGCGAAGAGTTTAAATTTTAACTTGACACTGAGAAAATAGTTTTAAGTTGATGTTCATCTTGTTCGGATGAAAGTAATTTTTAAATTTCTATTCCCTCAGCTGCTCGAAACATATGGCTGACTGTGCTGTTTGACTGCCTCATCATTATAACGTGCATCATCTCTTTCACCCTCTGCACACGCTCGGTCATCAATGGGGCTCAACTCCAATTTGTGAGTAAAATAAACTGACTTTGCTCAGTGCAAAGAAAGGATGTGATTGTCTGATATACATTAGGTCACTATATGTGGAAATGGATGGAAGTCAGTGCCAGAAAACCTTTTATACCTCATTAACATCAATGAAAGATGAAGGTCACAACATTTTTAACAACAAACATATTCATACTTAGTTTGACTTGTTCGTGACATTTCATTCAACCTATTTGTGAAAAGGTGTGTTATTTATGTGTGCAACTGCAGCTAAGAAGAAGCTTGTCATGTCAGTGTTTGATCTCCAAGTATATCTTGTCTATACTTTGCCTTATCTCAGAGGATGTAGAGGTCCCACATGACAAAATCTAGTTTTATTGGGTTTTGTGATTGCTATAAACTTGGAGGTGTAAAATAAAAGCTGTTAAGATATGAAGACATTCACTTCATCAATTATTCAAGCCCCCTGTCAGCTAGACAGCCTTCCAGCTTTACAAGCCAGGGAGAATTTTACAGCAGCTGACGAATCAAAAGTTGTCTGGCTCAAAACTTTGCATAATCCCACGACCTCACTGTCCGCTGCTTCCACGTGAGCCATTCAGAATGAGCAGCTGCCTCACGGTCCAACTGGTTTGTTTACGTTCTGGAGCTGCTCCTGTTAATTATAAAATGCCTCAGCCATGTGCAAACACACTGAATGTTCCTCAGTGTACAAGAGTGAACACAAGAGGCTTCATGCACGCCAGCATCTGACGAACTGAAGTGGATTACTTTTATTATTGATGGCAGTGAAAACTCATAGTGTTAGCATGTTACCATCAAGTGTAATAATATGTCCACAGGTCAGAGCTCTGGGGAAATGATAATGCTGAGGGACATTCAGAGATGTTGGAAAGTTTAAAACCAATAAACAAGGACTGGGTGGATTACTGTATTTTCATGTCGCCTGTTGTGCGACCTCGTCCTCCCTCATGTTTGCATCCATTTGCCAGTCTTCCGCTATCTGTGCTCACACAGCCAACTTCGTGTAAAGCTGTTCTCATTTACATAGTTTGCTGTTTCTGTTGTCAGACAGCGGATTAAGTATGAAATAGTGACCGAGCCTTTAAAGCTACATGTTAACCTTTAACCAGCAGTCACTTCTCAGCCATTTCACTAAAATACTGGTTTAATAACTGCAGCGTTGTCTGACAAACTCACTGTACACCCAAGTTAAAAACAGCAGCTGTTCTATAAATTCAGTAGTATTTCCATACAAAATGAACCCTCAGAGAGAAATATAGCATTGTCAAGGCTAAAACCAGGGGTTATACAGATAATTAATCATCTTTGCAGTATTTTGAGCTGAAGAAACAAAAGTTACATTCTTGGGACACGTGAGACTTTTTACTTTGCTGTAAAGAGGTACAGTATGGGACCTTTAAGTTAGCTGTTACTTCTTGTTGATGCTGATTTAATGGATGTTGCAGTTTTCCTTTGCTTTTGGATTAATTAAATGAGCCTCTGTAATCTGTCCTGTCTATCTCTGTTTAATATGTTTACATTAATTTTTAAAAATTGGCCATAAAATTGAACAATACTGATGGCTTCCTTGCAGAGATTCTTTTTTATTATTATTATTTTTTTTTCTGGCCTTTTTGTCTTTATTAGTCAAGATAGTGAGAGAGTGAGACAGGAAAGGGGAGAGGACCTGCAGCACAGAGTCGTGAGCGACCCCTGTTCATGGGTTGCCCGCTCAACCAGTTGAGCTATAGGGGTGCCCCCTTGCAGAGATTCTTAATGCAACCTACATTTTTCATTTCTTCTGAACAGGAATACGCCCACTACTGCATGAAATACTGCAGTAAAGAGGTGCCATTGTCGGACAAGTTGGAGTTTGTGAACGGCTGGTATATCCTGATCATTGTCAGTGACACACTGACCGTGATTGGCTCCATTCTCAAGATTGAGATCCAGACTAAGGTAATGAGGATTCGATCACCGACATTTATTTATGGTTTAGTCAGCTCGTAGTGTAAACTGCAGTGGCAGGCCATGTATTTTACTCGTAGACCTTCAGTGGCAGCCTAACTGAATCAAACCACCTCTTAACACCGTCATTATGACGCCACAACTATAGAAACAATCAGTATTATGCAGAAAGGCAGCATAACAGGACGTTGCATTGCAGGCAGGTATCTTATGTAGTGAGAATGAATGCCATCACTAAAGCAAGAAACCCAGTTAAAACTATTCAACAAGTCTCCATTAACTGCAGCCACAGCTGCACCATATACATCACATCTAACAGGAGCATCAACATCAACCCAGTTAATGACAACAATATATATTTTACTCACCAAAACTTGTGATTATTTGAACACAAACTCCATCCTCCTTTCTTTCCTCATGAAGAGTTCAATAACTCGGTAGAGCAGGTAGTCCGTGCGTTTCACTTCCAACAATAAGTCCTGTTCTGTCTCCATGGAGGCTAATGCTGAAAGTCAGGTCTGTCCAGATGTGTTTCTGGCATAAGTTTTAATTCTCTTTAGGGTGAGAATGTCCGCCTGCCTAACTAAAAAGAAAGCAAAAAAACAGTACTTTTATGATAAAGTTTTAGCTTGTGCAGGTCGCTACAGATGCTTTGGCTGAGCTCTCTGACCATCCAATCAGAGGACGTTAAAATGCTGACGCTATCATAGGCCAGCTAGCTGGCCCTGGGGCCACCAACTCTCAATCTGATTGGTTAAAGCAACAGTTTCATTTCAATGCATTTTAAGCTTCAGGAGCCTGTACTTTTGATTCTGAAGGCCTCAGAGCAGATTTCTTTGACCCTGGCAACACATGATGGCTGAAATATGATTGGATAAAAGCTCTACTATAATCATAAACTGCTTGAAGCACCACAGCCCAGAGACACTAAAAAGAATGATGGAAAAATATTACAACATAAGTCAGCGATTCTGATAGAGCTTAGGCCAGCAGAGAAGGCCTTGCTGGCCCTGATGGCACTCCACTGGTAAACTGCAGTGCCTTTCATTGCTTCAAGTTGTATCAGAATATTTGTTCATGTTTCGGTATTTCTTGAGTTCATCACTCACATTTTTGGAACCTTGTTTTCCAGGTCCTCACAAGCTATGACGTGTGCAGCATCTTCCTTGGCACAGGCACCATGTTGGTCTGGATTGGGGTCATTCGTTACATGGGCTACTTCAGAAAATATAACGTAAGACCAGATTTTATTGGTACAAATGCAGGAGATGTTAAGTTGTTTTAGTGTCACATGCAGTGCAATAAGTTAACGTTGCCGTGTTGCAACCACCCCTACAATCTTTTCTGGTTATCCTTTGATGAAGATACAGCAGTGTTAAAATGTTAGACACAATTAAAGAGCAATTAAAGGCTCTGAATTAATTAGTGTGCTTTCCCAACCTGAGCAGCATGTGATTCAGCTTCATTTTGCAGGACGATGCTCAGAAAACCTGTTCAGTAGATGAACTTGAAAACAACCCTCGAGAATCAAATTTTGATTTCACATGAATGATTAGCGACCAAATGATGGAAAGATAGAAAAAACATAGTGACTGTTGGGGGACTTTAACTGCTGCTAATTTTTGTTTTTCTTTATTTTTTTTAGAAAACATAGCTGCAGTTATTAAAATATGATAGAGACTATGTATTCATGTGGCCACTTCAGCCTGTACTTCAATGTAAAAATCTTTTCTCGCTGTCGCACCACATGTTGGCAGTTTTTAAAACACAAACTAGCTTTAGGGCCACAAAATACATTCCCAATTTATCAGTGAAGCATCAAAGGACTGCTCTTTGACATGACATGCTTAGAAAATTTGATGTGGAAGGTTTTTGCAAGGCTCGTTCAGGATGATGACAGCTCATCATAGAAAACAAGGCGCAATTAACTTGAAGGTCTTCTCACAAAGTAAATAGATTCTATTGTAGTCCTGACACTCATCTCCAGTGTACATTTTATCAGATCTATTACCGTCATGTGTTCTTTGGCCATTTCCAGATTCTCATCCTGACACTGAGGGCAGCTTTCCCAGTTGTTATTCGTTTCATCTGCTGCGCTGGAATCATCTACCTGAGTTACTGCTTTTGTGGCTGGATCGTCCTCGGCCCATATCATGAGAAGGTACCAAATGTTTACATCATTTAAAAAAAAAAAGTTAAATAAAACCTGTGGGATTGAGCAGAAGTCAGATTTATATATATTTTTTTCAATTCTTGTAAATTAAATAAAATAAATAAATATGATCAAACTGAACTAACCGGCTGCTCTGTGACATTTAGTTCCGGACCTTGAACACAGTGTCGGAGTGTCTGTTCTCACTGATCAACGGAGACGACATGTTTCCCACCTTTAAGAACATGAAGCAGAAGAGCAGCCTGGTGTGGATCTTCAGCCGGGTCTACCTCTATACCTTTGTGTCGCTTTTTATCTACATGATCCTGAGCCTCTTCATCACAATCATTACCGACACCTACGACACCATCAAGGTGATGATTAATCTTGTTTTCAGATATTTGTAACCCACCATCAGTTGTTTTTCATTCTATTATGTTTTAGTAATTTGTGTGCTGCACTGAAGCAGAGAAGAGAAAATCTGATTTACAATTACTCTAGCAAAATATGCTTATTGTTTGATTGCTGTTTCTAAGAGAAGTTTAATCCTTGATTCAGACACTCTAGAAATCTTAACAACCACACTCTTGTTTTAACTAACGCGACACTCTGACTCACATTATCCAGCAACAGCAGCAAAGTGGAACCCCAACGTCAGAGCTACAAAAATTCCTTTCAGTGTGTAAAGATCTGCCGAATTCTGGTGTGTTCAGACTTGATGAGAACAACAGCTGCTTCTTTGAGTGCTGGATCAACAGGTGAGATGAGTAACATCAAGAGTTATTGTTTGGGTCAAGTGATAGTATCAGGACTTTCTCACTTTTGTTTAATGTCATCACACCTATTTGGAAGGCCCCTTATTAGAAGTAATAAAACTAAAAATGCAAGTGCAATGTGTCAAGACACTTTCCTAATCTGTATTCCCTACTCATAACATCTAATAAAATCTAAGCTGAGCTATTTTTCTCATTTCAGATGCAGGAAGCGCCAACATCAAGAGCGGCTGACTTCAGAGGCATAGAAAGTCTTTAATGTGGAGATACTAAAAGGCTGCACTGTAGAAATAATAACCTAATAATTAATGTGCACTTTAAACTGTTATATTCAGTTGTAGTGGGTTACAGGGTCTGAAAAGCTTTTTTCCTTCTTTACCAGTACAAGTTTGCTTTGCTGAGGATCATTTCTTTCAGTGCTGATGACTGGACCCATGATAAAGGCAAAAGATAAAGGAATCTAAAGTCTGGTCTCAATATGATGCACTAAATTGGGAAATACTTTGTAAATACACTTATTTATATTAATACTGTGGATGAAGAATTTGTGACGGAAATTTGAAATGACATTGTGTTTTTACAAAGCATGTCACTTTGGAAAGACTCCAACGTTGCACACTCGAGATACTGTATCAATGTTCAATAAATAAGCTGAAATGTACATTAAATGAGATTTTATTTCTCCATTGTGAGGAGAATCATCAGTATAAAAGCTATGACATTTTTTTTCCCCACACACTAGTTGATCTTCTGTAAAATCCTGTTACAATGCAGAAAAATCCCATTTCAGTATTTAATACAAGAACCCATACAACAGTTAACACTGTAAAACTGACAAGTCTTTAAAAGCAATATCTGGAAGCAGATATTGTAAATGGCTCCACTAGTCACCAGTGTAGCAGTGGATGTGGCCTTTTTTATTTCCCAGAGGAGATTTGCCATTTGACCCTGTCATGAGTTACTGCTGGGGAGGTCTGGCATCAATTCAAACCAACATGAAGTTGTAAATGGGCAGGGCAGGCCAAGCATTGTTTCAGTTTGCTTAATTTCAGAACCTTGGGTATATAAAATATCTTTTGTTTATCATCAAAAAATCATCTGTGAACCACCACAGCTCAGCTTGTACGAGTCACTTGATGCAAGCCTCCAGAGTGGGCAGATGTCACTGGTACACTTGAGGTTCCTGATAAAAGCAGTCAACTGTGACACCCCCCAAAAAAGGTGGCTACCTAAAAAAAAACACAGGCAGCTCTATAAAAAGTAGTTCTCAAGTCTTAATCCTAAATTTTCCCAGGCCAGTTTTGTATTTTTGACTCCATGAAGCGACCCCTCTGATCGTGGCAGTCTGACAGGAAGGTTGTCGGGAAAATCCAAAAAGGCAGGAATCACGAGTATTGTTGGTTACAAAAAACAAGATGATTAAAAAAGAAAAAGAAGCTTGGTTACTTCAGTTGATATCCTGAGATAAAATGGGGAAAAAAAAATCACACTTGGAAGTCAGTCTGGTTTGGACTGTGTGACACCAGGGGGAGGTGGAACTCGCTGCTCCTCCATTCTGTTCGACTGGGAATGTAGGATGAGACTGAAAAAATCTTCATCTGGTACAGTTGGTCCCTTATTTGTAGACGGTGGAGCAGCACACCTCTGGTCATTCAGTCTGGAGCCCTAGAACACAGTGCAGACAGCACAATTACTAGTCTGTCCACTAAAAATACATGCATTAGTGTTTTAAGTGCTTTATCTAGACAATTCTACAGATTCCCTGGTTTCAGCAGTTAAACTGAATACTGTTTGTGGGTTGCATTGTTAGTTGAACAACATGTTCAGAGAATATCAGCCATGGCTTCAGGAAGTTGTGTTGTGACTTTTTACTATTTTTCATGTATTTTATAGATTCATAGATTTTCATGAGACTGACTTTCCGGGCCCATAAAATAAAGCCTTACCAGATTTTAAGAGTTATCTGTAATGTGGAAAACACAGCCTGTTATGGACACAGGTCTGTATTCTCATAATGGCTGGAGCAGCATGTGATGTTCTGGATGTCTTTTTCTCACCTGGCACTTCACTAGCATGTCAAAGAAGACATCATCTCCCTCAGGCTGCTCAGCACTGGCCTCGAGGCGACCGTACAGGGAGGGTGTGTGAGGGGTATCTGCACTGGAGATGGGTGCTGCAAAGAAAAACAAACATTTGTCAACATGTGAGTGGCGATACTGCAGGTTGTGTGTTAAAAATGGCCAGTGCCTGATACTCTATCACCTTGTGACGGGACTTGTTCTGTGCTGGAGGTGGAGGGTGTACGAGGCGGGTTGGAGGTGCTGAGACGCAAGCCAGGAAAATGGCTCAGGTTTACTCGTTGGTCGTCCAGACGACGGGCCTGGGAGCTGGCCAGCAGCTCCAGGAAATGACCAGGATCCTGCAATGGTGTTTCGCGCTCCGAAACGGCTAGAAAAAGATATTATTTTCTTTAGCAAATTGAGGACAACGGATTATTATTGGTCACAGTGAGTTGTGTCATTTACTCCGACCAGTATTTTATTCTGATTTCAATGTCAGTGAATGCAGGTAAAGGAGGACGAGAGATGTTCCGAGTTCAATTATTCTATAAACATAAAGCAACACTCCACCTAAAAACTGTTTTCAAAGCATCAAATATTCTCCACAGACTTGAAAGTTGGCAAGAAAAAATGTTTTCCTTCATGGGGTATGAAGGCTGTTTGGATTCATGGCTGTTAGCAGCAAGTTTACAGCATCAAAAAAGTCAAAAAATGCCATTGTACTCTTTAAAGAGTGAGACCAATAATTTCAGTGGAGTATCACTTTAAGTCATCTGACACAACACAGAGGATTAACAACATCTAACATGTAAAGGGTACATTTATGGACGTGATGCATTCACACCATATAAGGGCAGGGCCTTCTCTTTACCAGAAACAGGCTGTTCTAACAGATTCACAATATGATGAGCTGTTGGCTTGTCAGCAATGAATGAAAAACATGTAGCTAAATAAGAGAGCCTTTCCGTTTAGCCAAATTCATTTCCATGATTTCACTTGTATTTAACCACAGAAAATAAGTCAGGAAGGTTTACATTGCATATGGTGTGAGAAGCGACAAAAACACAGGGCTGACTCACATTTGGCTTCAGATACAGATAGGGTGGAGGAAGGAGAGGGGTGGGCAGGGACATGGCTCTGGCCATCAAGTGTACACCTTTGGTCGTCCATTCTGTTGCCCTGGAAACGAGAGAGGAGGTCGAAAAAGCCATCCTCCCCAATAGTATCCCGTGATCCCAGCTGCAGCGAACAAAACAAACAGGTTTAATAACATTAGAAAAAAGCTTCAGATAATCAAGGTTGTTGGAACACGTAAAGCACGTAATGAAAACAAACACTGTCCTGTTAAGGTTTCTATCCACAGCTGATAGTTGACTATTAAATCATAATTTTTTTTTTAAAAAAGTAAATATTTCTGGGAAACTGTGATGGACATTTTTGATGTGGAACATTTGTAACAGCTGTTGCCTTCTGTAGGGAAGACTTTAAATGAAATAAAATGTATATTTTACAATTCATGCCTTAATTTTAATGTTCAGTTTTCAAGGGGAAACCAAACTTTGCTGCAGAGTTAGATAAAGGCATGGGTTTGCTCTGGTGCAGTACATTTAAATACAGTTGTATTTTTTCTTTACTTTATAGTGCTATTGTCATAAGTTTTTCTTCTTTTCAATCATTACGGTTTAATCAGGTTTATTTTATTTTTCTCACTACAGAATGTGCACATTGAACATTGCTAGAACTATGCACATCACAAATAAGTACGTACATTTATGCTAAGTTTAAGTCACAGTGTACAATTTGGAAATCAAAATGGATTACAAAGCTTTTTATTTTGTATAAATTGACTTCATTTTGAAGCAGGTTATGTGTTATCAGCTACTGTAACTCAGAAATACCTTAGGAGACGTTGATGTGTCGAGGTCGGGAGCTGTGTGCTCAGTGCGGTTTTCTGGCTGGTCTTTAGGAGGTGACTTGTTGTTCTTCTGCTTCTTGCTTTTTAGTCGGTGGAAGAGGAAAAGCTTAGTGGAGGCCTTGATTGTGTTGTTTTTTGAAGACCCAGGAAATGTATCCTCCTCCCAGTCCTGTACATACAAGGACCATGCAGATTGATAAGTTTAAACATCACAGACAGATTCATGTCGAAACTTTAATGTTGTATCCACCACAGGCTGGATGAACAGGTTTTTGTTGTAGAGGGAAATGTGTGTTCATCATTTATCATATCTTTTTGTCATGTAAACACTGACACACAAATTATAAATGTACATGAACATTTCTGCCTACTTGGGCCAACATGTTTCTCAAGTCGTAGCATTGAAAATAAAACAGTTGCTATGTACTGAAATCAGCAAATCTGCACCTACAATTTAATACACATCTCATAAATTACCAATAAAATAAGAAAATAATACATGTAATTTTTAATGACAAGTAGCACCTACAGCTTGGTATGTTACACACCAGACTTTTTTTGTCAAATATAAACTGGTGTAATTTGATCTCTGCGTATGTCAAATGAAAGAGTTAAAACACTTTACTTGTCTGGCTGGTTTTGAAATCAGGCAGTGACTCAGGCAACTTCCACAATTCATTCAAGACTAAAAATAAAAACTGCATACTTCCCATTCCAAGTGATTTTTTACGTACTGGAAGTGCTGGGGAGTCTCCACTTTGATTTTTGTCAGGCGTTGGACTCTTGGGCTCCATGTTCTCAGCACTACCTCCCTTCCTTGATGGAGAATTGACCACTAAAATAAAAATACAAAGTTTAACACATGTTTTAGTATTTATACAGCACTTTCACGACTGGACAGCAATAATTTAGCCAAGCTTTGCAACAAAAGTCAGACCTTTCGGGGAACTGGAAAATCAATTTTTGGATCGACTCAGTACTTGTTTGCATAAATATGATTTAACACCCTGAACCCTGAAACCTGCTGGTGGGTTTGAAAGGAATGTTGTGTTAAAAAATGAAACAAAAACAAATGAAAACGTTACCACCCCATTTTTTTAGAGCCACAAAACTGTTAAAAAAACAAAAAAAACCCAACTATAATAACATATATTAATTATAACAATCATTTTCGGCTAATCTGCAGGCTGTGATACCATAGAGCTGGAGAAAACATGGAAGAAAACAAATTAAAAATGTACATAGTAAAATATCTATAATGTGTGGAGTTGCTCTTTCTGTTGTGATAACAATGAGCTCATACTGAGTAAAAATGTGACTGGAATAAAAGAAACTTCATTGAATTTAGAGGGTTAACTGTTTCCTGGCAAACATACTGCTAAAATGTAATAACACAGATTGGGAAGTGTGAAAATGGATAAGTCAGTGCCATGAAATAGCTGGCAATACTGAGGAATACAGATTTACCTGGTAGGCTGGGGTAACCATGGTAGTTTATTTGCAGAGCAGAGCTATTGGTATTGGTGTTGCGGAAGATGTTGGGATGGATGTTGGGGTTGGACTTCAGGCCTACAACCAGCCGTAGGTCCGACAAATTCATCCTGGCTGTCACCTCGCCACTTTTATCTCCAGTCTACACCATTGACAACATTCAAGTTAATGCAAGTATATGACTCCAAAGAAATGAAATGATGTTCATTTTAGCATCAGCAGTGTCACATACAAACAGTGTGCTTGACACATTTGTTGCATACAAACAAGCAACAGAATTATTCCGTGCTGTTCCCTAAACAACCAGTAGATGGCGATGTGGTCTGGTGAAAGCTACTGATTTGACTGACTGGGGAAGGTAGAGTGTAAACAGTCACCTCTTTGGCAATTTCCAGATGTTTCTCGGCAAAGTACATTGCTTGCTGGTGATTCCCCAGGGCAGTGTGGGCATTTCCTAGACTCCAGTATGCTCTTCCTTCCCCGACTCTGCAGTGAGACACAACAGGGAAACAGGCTGAGCAACTTCAACTGAGATTATGCAAGTATGGGTGGCCCTTAATCCAAACATCACACAGGAAAATGACAACAACCTGATCTGAACCTGAGCCTATTTCACAACAGTCGCTGGGTTTATCATAGCCCTAGAATCAATCCCATATCTGTAAATATCTCTTTTATTATGTGTAAGAATGCCATGACTTCTACCTATAAAAAGATTATTTGTATGATTAAATATAAATGACTTAGAGAGGATTCAGAGCACACTCTTGGTACCTCTTCTTTAATAGCTTTTACAGACTTTTTTCGAAGACTGCAAAAATAGAGTGGTACCCCCACACTATGAATTAAGCATTACCTTGTTACCAGTAAAATAGGAGAGGAGCAGCAGATGTCCACTGACCTTTTTTGCTAAATGTATTTGTACTAGCCAATAACTACTTATACCTTCATGTGCAAGCCACTTTAGAATGTTGTAGGGATCCCCGTTTTTGTACCTAATAAAAACCTTTTTTCTATGCCCACTTGTGACTTTGCACATCTTTGCTATTGCTGTTTTTTTTTTTCCAAAGACAACAGTATGGTAGCTTGTGACATATTCTATGTACATGACATGAAATCTTGTGACTGTGTCTGATGGGTGTTTGGAGTAACACCACTTAATTTTAGCAAATGACTTGTTCAGAGGCCACCCACATTCAAACTGCACATGCTCATTATACTTCAAAGACAGTTTGGCAGGAAAGCTGACAAAAAAAATGGCCTTAATGGTATACCGGTCGTTGAGGTCCTGAGCAATGACCAGATGTTTGAGATGATAATCAATGGCTCTCTCATAGTCCTGCAGCAGTGTGTAGGTGTTTCCTAGACTGTAGCAGGCCTGAGCCTCCACCGCTCTGTCCTTCAAAAGCCTGGCCAGCTGCAGAGTCCTCCTGAGGGTAAAAGAAAAGGGGAGGAAGAAGGTCACGGAATGTCTTGGGTGGGTGCAGGAGAATGATAGTCATCTGCTCTTTTCTTTTCGGTCTTTGTTCTAATTTTCCAAGGACTTCTGTAACAACAAAATGCTGGAATCGGGGATTAAAGGATTGTGAATTTAATTACTTACTGCTCCTGTACATCATTAAGAAAACAGTATCTTTGTGTAGTATTATATAAATGCGTGGTATTATGGTGCTGGTCTATCTTCTATAAATAACCAAGACAGTACAACTTCACTTTTATTTAACATGTATAAACAGTATGAAGCTTAGTCATTTACAGCTATAAGGACATTTTAAGCATTTATTATTTTAAAGTATTGTCCACACATTGTTACTGTTATGACATGTGACAAACATTTGCTTCCAGAACTACAGTGTTATAAGCCATTTTAAATTGTTGCTTAGAAATGCTAAATAGGGGGACTTAAAGTAGCATTGCCAAGAAAAACTCCTTAGCTGGTGTGATGAACCAATTTTCCAGTGAAAATCCTCTAAGTTTAATTTGATTTCTGTTCTCCAACTGATTCATGGTTGAATATTCATAGATGTAATTAAATGTTTTCTCCTGTCTTTTTGCATCTTTTAACTGACAAACAGGATGACATCAAACAAGCATTTAAGTGTCATTGCTAGAACTGTGATAAAATAAAAATACCACTTTAGCCCACTTGTTTTGTGTCCACATATGATTATTACAATGGCTGATACCAGCCAAGAGGTGAGAGAGGCCATTAAGCATCACATTTACTCACTTGTAATGACCAGCCGCCACGTCAAACTGGCTAAGGAATATGTTTGCATTGCCAAGGTTGCAATGTGCCCTCCGCTCAGCAGACTTATCACCAAACTCTTTAGCAATGAGAAGTCGCTGCCAAACAGAAGAGTGTACATTATTGCCACTAAAGTCAGGAACAACACAAAATATTCTCATGCGATGAAGACAGGGGATCTATTTTTCACTGTCAGGAGGTGGAAATAGTGACAAATATTCTTTTGACATTGTTTGCTTTGGTGTGCCAACGTTTTTCACTGAGGTGCACCCAATTTTTTTCACCATGCCTTTTGGCACCACATTACAAATGGCCATGGCTCAGGTGGTATAGCCACTACCTACAAAGTGTAGCACTTTGTAGACCCTAGCTAAGGTTAAAAGGTGCTATACGAGGTGTGTCAGAGAAGTTCCAGGACTGTGTGACAAAAGATATATTTAAATCCCAAACTACAAACTACCAGTTTTCCCCTTCAGATGATCAACCAGCGCATCTACAAAGAGATCCTGCAGCGTTTACTTCGTTCAGTGAACAAAGAGGCGAGAGTTGCGGCAGGACAAGTCGTGGCTGCTTCACCATGACAACACGCCTGCTCACAATGTCCTGAGCATCCGACAGTTCCTGGCTGAGAAGAACATGGCCGTGCTGGAGCAACTTCCCTAATCACCCCACCTGGCTCTGTGGGATTTTTTCCTCTTCCCAAAGCTCAAGGGGGTCATCAAGGGGACACGTTTTGAAGACGTGGATGACATCAAGATGGCTATGACGACGGAGCTGCGGAGGGACGAATCCTTCCAGGAGTGCATGGCGGCGCGGCAGAGAAGACTGGGGAAGTGTGTAAGACTCCAGGGGGATTACTTTGAAGGGGAAAACCAGCAGTTTGTAGTTTGGATTTGAAATATATCTTTTGTGACACCAGTCCTGAAACTTTTCTGACACAACTCGTAAGTGCGGAAAAATTGATGGTTTACCAAATTAATGAGTATAAACAGTGGCCTTCTGCACTGCGTTGTTATGAAGAGAATGTGACTACACTCTGTGATCTCTTGGAGGTGATCTCTGTTGATTCTGACAATGACAAATGATAAAGGAAAATTACAAAGTAGCTGCCTGCTGCAGCTCCTCTCCCACAGGAGAAGAGTACAAAAGGGCTGAGAGTGTGCATGGACAGTGGGTGTGGAGCTAGCAGCAGGGACTAGTGATGGGTTTATTACTCACTGGTCGACAATGCATTTGTAATTGCTGGGGGCTATTGACCTATCCTCTGAAATGAATCAATCTGCTGACCCCTCCCCACACCAAAAGTGACCTGATGCCCCTTTTTGCTCAGATATGTTATCAGCATCAACAGTGTTTACATCTGGCATATCAAATGAGATGGGCTAATACTGTGTGATAGCAGGAAACAGCCACTGCAAGTTAGACATTTAAAGTAAACACAATTATCACCATGTAACATGTAATTACAGCAACAAAGTGCATCAAAGGCATTGAAACACCTAAAAAGACTTTCATCCACTACTTTCTCTAATAAGGTAGATGGTTAAAAAAAAAAAAAAAAAAAAAAAAAAACACAAACCAATTTCACTATTATATGCAGCACTCAGGTTGTACACAAAATATCATTAAGCTAAAAGAAAACACCAATCTGCATGACCCAATCTTACAAGCCAGCCTTAAACTATTGAAACACCTGTGAGTAAAAGCACTCGATATGCAGTTTAAAGGAGCAGCCAGTGAGAGCTCACATCGCCCAGAGTGGAGCGGAGGAATCAGATGCAGCACCTCGCAAAGCAAATGATCAGCATTTGTCTGCTCTACAAGTTTGAAATAAAAATAATGCTACACACACAGACAGACCTGCTAAATGCCAAGTGCACTGGTGCCACCACTGAAAATGTTTGGTGCACTTGGCACATTTTTGGTTGTGCTTTGAAGGCCTGATGAGTAGTTTGTTGCCTACCTTCTCATGTGCGGCTACAGCAGTTTCAAAGTCACCCAGCAGATAGTAAGTGTTACCAAGGTTCCCGTAGGTACGACCCTGGGCTGCCCGGTCACCTGATTCCTTCACGAGGCACAGGTTTGCTCTTCGGGGAAAGAAAAAAAAAGGGGAGAAATAAAGAGATATTCATGTACAAATGTACAAAACTGACACATTATTATGCTCTCAGAATTTCATGACAACTGAGTGAGCTCTAACAGCAGAAACAAATTGTGTCTTTTGTTTCAATGTGATGATTTAACCAGGCTGCATATTATATATAATCCGGTCAGTGTTTGCTCTGATGTCACTGTGATGCCTCATTTGTCATCACATAACAGTAGGACAGTGTCATCAGTTTCAGTCAGCTATTTGCAAACATCAGACCAAAATCAGTAAAGTGTCAATGTACGGCCAGAGAAAGCTCCAGGGGGCACCTGATGTCCAGCAGCATGGACCATGCTTTGCAATATGACCAAAATATTATTCTTCCAGTAGATACATAATGATAGACTGCATTGCAACCTAGACTGAGATGTGACTTAAAATTCCAGAAAAAGGACGTCATTGAACCATGAGTGAGGCTCATCTTTTTAAACCGTTCTTTTCTAAGGTCAGGATGTTTTATACATTGCATTATACTACCATGGCAACATGTCAATGGAAGTCAACAAAAAAAACAACTGATTTTAACATCTGCCAAAATGTGTTATTTATAGTTGTTGTTTTTTTTAAACAGCACCCAATCAGCTCATTTAGAGAATGTTGCATTTCATATCTGAAGCATTGGACCGTCAGTCAAATTTAAGCAACTTATAACCATGTAGGAGGTCAGCATTTTACTCAAGGATAATTTGAGGTCATCATAAGGAACCAGAGACTCCTCAGCTTAGGTTCAAGACTTTCACACCACAAGTTTATTTTCTCAGCGTTTTAACAACAAAATAAAACACAATGTTTGGTAAACTATGACACCAACTCACTCATAGTATTGTGCAGCTTTCCTCAGGGCTATCCTGGCCTCCTCTGGAAAATCTCCTGGCTCTGCTCCAGTCCAGCAGAGGCTCTTGCCCTTGGCGTGGTAAACGTTTCCGAAATTATACAGCGCTCGAGCCTGCCCAACCTACAGCACGCACACCAGATTTTCACAGACGGAAACCAGAGTGACCAGTGCTGTAATTATATACTTAAAATACACTGACACCAGACTTTCTTGTTTGCATGCAGACTGGTAAACTATTCTAGATGTTGGTACACCAATTCTATGCAGTCATCGTAGAAACTGATCTGTGGCCCCAGAGCATGTTATGTGGTATGGTTGACTATAAATTTGAATCCATTTATTCTAATAAAAGTAAATGGTCATTCTTGTCGCAGGCGGAACTTTCTATTTACAGACAGTTAAAAATAATTTTAAAATAATAAAAGGAGTGACAGAATGTTTCACTTATACCGAAATAAGTCTTGTTTTAATTGTAAAATATCACAAAAATATGACCCACCTTATCATATACGGCTCTTGTGATATCCAAATGTCTTTGGCAACAAACCACAGCTTCTTCATATCTTCCTAAAAGCTTTAATGTGTTCCCAAGGTTACCACTGGCTTTTGCCTCACCAAGTTCATCTCCAATCGTTCTGGGATTTCAATGGAGGAAGAAAAAAAAACATGAGGAAATAATTAGACTGGAATATTAGTGGATTCCTAAAGTGTATTAGTGTGAAAACACAAGAGGCAAAAAAGCAATTTACAGCTGCAAGCAGTAATATGCTGAAGTCTAGTTTAGCAGTTTAATCATGGAGGGAGAAATAATGATTAAAAAAGTTTCAACCCTGGACCATACTTGTGTGCATAATGGCTAACCGTGGTTAAAAATCACACCGGCAGGAAAAACAGAATTTTTCACTGTTGAACAATCAAATGAAAGGCTTAAAAAGGAGGAAATGGTTTTGGAACAAATTACTATTAAGGCTGTGGAAAGATTTACCTGGTGAGTGTGAGGTCATGCCGATGGTACTCCAGGGCTTTATTATACTCTTGAAGGTGAAAGTAGGCATTTCCCAGCTGGCTGTAGATGGCGCTGAGGATTTGGAGGTCCTCTGTTCCAACCTGGATGGCAGATTCAAAGAAGGACACACCTGCGCGATAGTCACCAGCCTTACAGAGCCGCTCACCTTCCAGAGCCAAGTCCAAACATGATGCTTCCATCCTGCAGGAAAGTGGGAACCACATTAGGAGTGACAGTGGACTCTGTGCTGATGTTGAAACATCTCACTATAACAGGGGGATAACCAATTTACCTCACTGTAGATTTGCTTACAGCTTCAAACACAAAGCCACAAACAAATATTGTGATTTGATCAACACATTTTAACATCTTGTAAAATCCTCAGGGGGGTTATACAATGAATCAATTTAACGTAAGGAGTCAACACACAGGATCAAATGTGCTAAATAGTACCCCGACTTCACATTAATGCACCTTGAGGAAAGACCAGTTGCACACAAATGCAGTATTTGCGCCATAACATCTTGAATACCACCTCAGGATGCAATGTCAAAAGAAGTTAGTACGCCACAGTTCTCTTTCTAAGACCTCTCCCCTGATACTTTTCCTCCTCTATGGGAACAGGAAAAAACAGAGCTTTTAAAACGTATCAGAAACTTTGCCATTCCAAGTTGAAACTATTTAAGTTACAGCTTTATCTCCTTATCATTTCTCTTCCTCAATGTCATAACTTGTAGAAATAGAGGAAAGGAAGTTCTGAGTTGCTCATACTGATCCACATCAAGACTCAATATGCAGTCATGTCAAGGACAGTTGGTAAACCTCATCAGAAGAACATATAAAACATGGAGGTTAGTCAAAAATGTTTGAAAATGAATCCAGACAGGAACTTTTTTTTTTTTTAAAGTTTACTACTGGTGACTTTGTTGGTTAGTTTTAAACACCACTTAACTGTTAAGAATAGAAAAAAATCAAAAGGTATTTATTTTTAATATTGATGACGAGCAGCAAACCCTCAGATTTGAAAAGCTGGAACAAATGACTCAAGTGCCAAAAGATGTCACGTTTACTTATTCAGTTACTTAAAAGACTACACAACTATTTCAATCTCTGTCAACTGCCGTATCAATTAATTGACCACTTGTTTCAACACAATTGTAAACGGTTTACTTATATCAGAAATGGACTGCAGTCACACCGTTATTCATTATTTAGAATCGGAACCAGCAAATGTAGTGCAGGGGTTTCGTTTGTGTTTTCAGTTAAGCCACTTGACCTGTCACTTAGATCACCTAAATGCACGATTATATTGGCTCCTCTGAAGTCGCAGTGTAGTGATCCTTTCTTCTCATACGAAACACAGAGAAACAGCATATGGCAAACAGAAAAAAGCCCAGTCTCTGTGAAATCAGACACAAGAGCTATAAATCTAAAATAGGACGGAGCATATCCTGTCTGTCAAGCGTACTAAGCCCTACAAACGCCACAATTACCCTGGAATGAAAATATGTACCTTACATTTAACCATGAGCACAAAGTAAACTCAGATGTGTCTGTGGCAAGTACTGCCATTTTACAGCCACCGTCATCTCGTTTTGCAGGCTTTCAACTGCCAGTAATCTATAAAAATAAAAAATAAAAAAAAACCAAGAAGGTGAGTGACTCCACAGAGATTACATCATAAGATTGTAAAACAAATCCAGTCATGCATGGGTGCAAAGGATTCGCATCTACAGGCCTGGAAATAAGGATCTCCATTTACTTCATTTGAAAGATTCAGTTCAAATGTTAAAAGACAATTTCACAAGCTGAGTGCATCTTATTGTTGTTAATTTATACTGCATGCTGACCAACAACACAACTTCCCTGTACACAGACCTAGAAAGAGGTCTACTAACACAACAGTCACAGCTAAGTGCATATCACATGAAAACAAACACTAATTTACATTTCAATAACCATGTTTTTACAACTTCAGTACTCTATTGAGAAGACTTTTGAGGGCCCTTTCACTCAGTGTTGTAGCTCCTAGGCATATAGCATTTTTCTTCCGGTCGGTTTCCTGACCTCCCAGTAAACTCTGTTGATGCTTAAAGGAATTGATGTTGAAGGTTAGGGTTAATCTCTGCCTCCTCAGCAAACAAAACTATGTTGTACAGCATTTGCCGCAGGACTAATACATTTGTCCAACTCTTGAATTATCAGCTAAGAAATGACTGACAAAATGTGACTAAATAGAATTACATTTTTAAAAAATGCAACAAGGCAATGCTTTGCTTACTTAAATTAGAACATTTCTCATCTCCACACTGAAGTACAACATAAACACGCCTTGGTGGCAAGGATACAAGTACTTAATCTCAGCCGCACAGCAGGGACCTTCTTTCAAAATCGGAAGTGCACTTGTTCCATTTTCTGGACAGGTTTTCTATCTTAGCATACCAATACAAGCTGTAAAGCACTAGTCACAGGTTTGTCTACATTAACATGCTTTCTGATATTTCAGAGCACAAATGATTTCAATATCAGTCAATGTGAAGTCACATACAAACGCTCACATACCTGTTGCCTCTTCCCATTCTGATGCACTCAAGGCAGTTTGACACGACGGACATTTCAAGCTTCGCAATCACTCTTTGGAGCAAACTCAGCTCTTCCGGCACAACACCCTTTACCTTCTCTTCCTTCATGTGAATACACATAACGCACTCAGCCACGGTCCCCCAATTTCACAAGAATAAAGGAAAACTCCCTTGGATCTGCTGCCATCTCTAAGAGTACTCTGCTAACAGCAAAACAAAGGACTTAATCCTCTCAGCGATCACACTGACCTTAATGGTCAGGCACCAGGTCGACAGACCTTTTGTTTAAGGTGAATACGGATTAACACCAGACTGTTACTAAAAGGAAATGATTGAAGCGAGAGCAGTCGGCTGGGTAGCCATATTTAGCTGTTGTAGTTCTCTTTCACCTAGTCATTGGTAACCTGCACCTCTAAGCCACCTGATGGTGTGTGTCACTTCCAATTAGGCCAGACCTCAGTGGTAATTATAGCCACTTTAAGTGGCTCCAGTGAACCTTAAGACTATTTGCTCAACGCTCAGTCATTCATCAGCCTGGATAGATAGATGTTCTACTATTGGCCTCTCAAAAGTATTTTACCTGGGTGATAATATACATTTTGTTGACGTGTCACTAATTCTTGGAAAATTGTCTGTGGTTTCTTGGGATAAATCTGACAAGGGCAGCATAGTGATGTATTAGATAAGCAAAGCCAGAAATAAGTTCACACCACATCGCAATCCCTTCCCCAAAGCTTCCAGTAACTCAGCTGTTGCCAATCCGGAGAAATCTATTTGTCCAAACTAATTAAGAGGTCAGGACCAATGTGCCCTATAGGGGAAGAAGCAATGCTTTGCTTACCAATAAGTTGTCCATGAGGACTGGAAAATGACATGTGACAGTAAAGATACCACCTCAGTTGACCAAGAGCCAGGTTAATATTCATATGAAGAGGACACTGTTGTGAATAACCCAACCTTAATTCAGCTGGAAATGTTTTAGACTGGGGGGGAGGGGAATAAATAAATCACATAATTCTGCTTTCTTAGTGCCTTTGCTATAACAACGACTGAGAGCACAGAGCTACTTCTGGGGCAGTTGCATTAATGCAGTTTATCCTTGCTGCTTGTGGGAGAGCAAATGAATTTAAAACCTGTAAATCTGCTGTATCTTATCAGTGAAAGCTGCCGCCATCTGTACTTAAAACTAGACATACACATATCTGTTTATCAGGTTGTGTCAGTAACCGGCAGGGTAGTCTGTTACCTGTTACCGAACACAGAGAATGGAATTCACTCAGAGGGAAATGTGCCAGTGATACACCGACTTGACGAGGCTTGTATGCCGTGCTTAAAATGACTACGGCGTGATGCAATTTATGTGTCTAACCCCACAAGGTTTTCCATAAATATATCATAGTTAAAAATCCATCAATTACACATTGGTAAAAGATAAATGTGTGGGATTGTTAACAAGACCGTGGTAAAAAAAAAAACAAAAAACAAAAAAAACATTCTGCCGGCTCGGATACCACATAATTTGAAATATCAATACCAGAAAAGGAAATGATCACAAATCAGTTTGAGATGAGGTGTCAGATAAAACATAACAACACAGCCTGCAGTCAGGTGTATATTGTCACAGTTGTTTTAGTCCTACCATGAAATATTTACATTGTGGCCAGTGAGGACCTCCTGTAGTCCACTCACAATCATTCATCAGTTAGCCAAAAAGGTGTCATGTTACTGTCACAGGAAAACTTAGATAGAAAACACACTGTTGTTGTTTAACCTCACACATATACTGACACAAACATCTGCAAATGTATCTATAAACACAAATGCAGAAATGTTTCTGGTAATATGCCTGAATTAAAAATAAACATAGTGAAAGGACATTTGATATTACGTTTGGAATCACAATCTTACAAAATGCAGTTTCCTCATAATATATGTAAGAACAATTACATAGAGTCCATATCAGGGCTGCACACTATATATTTTATTATAATTAACTTGTTGATTGTTTTCTCAGTAACCTCTGTAACCACAATTTTAGGTAATTTTACCTACAAAACGACACAAAGTGCACTACTATCAAAGGTTTATCGAAACTGTTCACAATTAATCTTTCCTCACCCGGCTAATCTAATAAATATTTCAACTCCTATCCATATCTACATTCCACCTACCTATTTGTATTCCTCTAGATGAAACAAAATGTGGATTTTTTTTTTTAAAAAGTACTTTAATTATTTGATGAACACCTTTTGTTTTCTTTTACAACACATTCAAAGAGCATAACTTGATGACATGTTGCAATTTATAAAAAACCTTACCCATTAAAGATTGCAAACACACAGCCTACCTCCGGCGGACATGAAGTAAATGCTCCTTGTCCCGTGCACGCCACAGAGAAACGATGTCATACATGACAGTCAGCCCGGCAGTCTTAACAAAAGCCTGGGTGAACACAGCCAGAAGATGAACCACATTATGGATTCCTCTCAATCGCAAAACTTAAGGAGAAACAAGCACTATTCCTCAAAAATCTGGAAACTAGCTGACAGGAAATCTACACACAACCATATGCAAAATTCATCAGGAGAAACTGCACACTGCTATGCATGGATTCAGCTGTCATACTATCTCTGTCCCACCTCCTGTCTTGAAACTGGAGCAGAGGAGCAAGAGTAAACACTGACACTCACTGTCATGTGTTTGTGATTGCGAAATCTAATTAATTAGCAAAAACTACTGCCATAAATCAAGTAGATTTGGGAGGATGCAGATAAGAATGCACTTGAGTCAGCAAAGCTTTATAACTTAATTATTTTAATTGCTGCATGTGTTGCCAGAAATATTGCAGAAGCTGTCAGTTCCAACTTTTGTTCAAAGCAACAATATTTCTTATGCTTCTTAACAAGGCAATATGTAGTAAGTACATAGGATACAGAAACATTTTTGCAGACACTTACTTTGTAAATTGATCGTGTAGCAGTGCTTTGTGTTATTTTGCTGACAGTATGGGTCTGAACAAATGCAGAGCGGGGCTGATCAACAATGCTTGAAAATTCTACTGCATTCAAATGATGTTCGCTTGCTACACGGTGCAGACGGCGTGCCAAGAAAATACCACACAAGCCTCACCAGTCTGTACCTTTAAAACAATGGAGGAAGAATTCATGTTGTTTGTGCCAAATTCCCATGACTGTGTCAAAACAGAAACTTGACAGCCAACAGCCCGTTTTATGCACTCTGCACACCTCCCATTTTGGGATCATGTGCCCATTGTGAGCTTTTTGATTTGATCTCATTTGCACATACCATTGCATTGAGCTCCACTGGACTTGTTTGCCTCCCTGTTGGCTTGAATGGTTCTATTTTTCCTATGACCTCATTCACTGACTGAAGTGTTTTCACCCAAAGAGCTCCAGCTGACTGTATGATTTTTTTTGTTCATTGCATCACTACATCTCTGTTCACTTCAGACAATGCAGTACACAAAAATCCCAAAGGGGAAGCTTTTTTAGCTGTCTGCCAGTAATCACATCAAGCTATAAGTGACTTACATCCTGGGGAGGGGTGGGAGATTATGCCAAAGACCATATCATGATCTTTTTGGGTAGAATCTCAATCCTCTGTACAGATTTAGCTGAACTCGTCATCACATGATTAGTTGTGCACATGGTCCCTGGAAGCAAAACCTGTCACTGAAACTCAAGGCAAAGGCCCAACTCACATATCTCTGCATCCTGTTTTCTCTTAGATTTTGTTCAGTGGCTTCTTCTGGGTTCTTGGTCAGCTTGCTACTATTTGTGATCCTCAGTAAGTTACATCTTCAACATGTGTAAGTGCGTTTAATAAATGTTGTCTTAGCTGTGCCTCATCCAGTCATGCTTTTGCAGAGTTAATGTGGATGAATGAACAGATGACTCAAAATTCAACCGTTCAATAATCGGATTAAGTTGCACTAAGTTGACAGTATTTCCTCTTGTGAACAATCAAAAACAAATACAGGCCTTAAAGTAGAAACTCAGTTCAACAAAAAACAGTTGTGATCACTGACACAAGTTAGAAAACCTGTGATCACTGAAACAACATACACCTGTGGTTTCCAATAAGGCCAATTACTGTACATAGCTATAAAATGCACACCTCTGAACTTCAGAACATTTTCAGTTTCGGACCTCCAAATGAGGCAAAACTTGTTCTGCTCAGATGGGGTCTTGCATGTTTGTCGTAAAAGACGCCAGGACCACCACAGTGAAAGCATAGTCCTGAGAGGGAATCACAGAGGTGGGAGTGTGATGATATAGTTCCGGATGCATGCAAAAGTGATGACATAGACGGCACCATGTTTACCTGTAAATATCCCAAAATACTCCCGGCCGGCAGAAGCTTGACAGGACAGGAATATCCCAGCATGATCAGGATTCAAACCACAAAATTACACAAGAGTTTCCAAAGAAGAAAACAATAAAAAAGATGCCCAAGCATGTTGCCCAATTTAATTCCAACAGAACACAAATGGAGCATTTTGAAGTGATTGTGCAGTAAAAATCTCTTGGGAAAAAAGTCTCTAAAGAATGGCAGAACATCTCTCTAGAAATTTGTGCAACACTGATATCCTCCATGCTGAGAAAGATTGAGGCTGTCAGATGAAATAAAGGTGAATGTACAAACTATTGAAAAAAAACAAAGATTTGCATATCGGCAATGAAAAGTGTACTGCTTTGTTGCATTGAGTTCCTACGGTGGGGTCTGTATTTTTAATACTGTAAAGCTAAACTGTTATGAAACTGTTGTACTAAAGCCTGCTGTTTAACTTGGAAATAGTGTAATGTGATACAATTCTGACTCATTAAACTGAAATTGCACACTCTGCTCTGCTTGCTCATTTCCGTTATTGTATACTGCACTTACACATTGCACCCGTAATTACGCAATCTGTACAATTCCACTCAAATACAGATTATATGCCAAATGGCCATGTATATTCTTCAGACTGTCCAACCTCTAATCCCGAGTCTTGCTCTTTGTAATATATGTCTTACTCTGTGTGCTTATTTTTTTTCTCAGATTTCTGCAACCATTTACTTCACAGTAGAAAAATCAAATGTTTTAACTTGCTGAAAAATACTGATGTTCTACAGGAGTATTAACAACTCTCAGACAACTGTCCCACAGACAGACAAATTATCAGGAACTAAGTGTGACTGATTAAAAACAAAACTGGACAGAAAGTGTACCCAAATAATTTCAGTTTTACTTTAACTTTTTTAAACTTTATGTGGTTTAAATGTACATTTTTTTGATATTTACTTAAAATACTGCATAATGTAAATCTCTGAGAAACCTTATAGTCAAGTGCAGTGTGTCGTCATGCAGGGAAGACAGCCTTAAAATCGTAGCTCTCATGGGGAGATAGAGAAATGTGTATTTTTCACATGGATTTTCTTCATCACCACCTTTTTACATTAGAGTGTTACTTTATCACTTTCCTTAGTAGAAAAAAAAAAGCTTTGTGTGAGAAAACTACAAATAAAAAAAAGTATAAACGCACAAGAACTGCTCTGTGGAAGCCTGAGTAGCAGTCACATAATAAAAGGCCTAATGTGGCATCCTAAACCATAACCATTTCAGTATGAATACGCCCAACCAGCCCTTCTCCAATTAAGTGATGCTCTCTAAAGTGATAGCCATTTTTGCTTTTTGAAGAAAGCTTAAGAGAAACCATCATTAAAGACTTAAAAACCCAACCCTGCATGGGAAAAAAAGAGGTCACAGCAAATTTAAATGGAAAACTGAGCTTCAACACCATAACTGTTGGCTGCTCTGTAATTACTGTTTATCCCAAACTAGTTGGGTAGGTTTCACCAAGAAATGAAAGCAGTGTCAAGACGCAGCATTGAAACGTCCGTTTGTTTGTATGCTAAGATTTAACACCTGAAACTAATTACTATAGTTGTGTCTGACAGGGATAAGCTCGTGTCTTTTGTGTTTGTGTTGTCCTCAGTTGAGTTCACGTCATGACACAGCCTTCTGGGAGGATGAGTCGAGTGTTTTGGGAAATTATGTGGTGAAAAGCTGTAAATGAGTCAGTTTAGTATGAACATGTCATCACATGTTCGCTGTCTGGCGTACACGGCAGACACTGAAGTAGGGCGACATTTCATATTTGTCGTTTGATATTTGTCCAAACGCGGCAGCAGAGGTTTTTAAAGACAGCACAACGTCACTACAGTTAACGGCTAACCGACGTTTCCTTAAAAAAAAAAAAATGAAGCACAACAACCGGACCGACACCAAAAAAACTTTCCAGGTAACTCTTTCACCTACCTCAAACTGAAGAACGCTTAAACAGCCCAAACATCGCTTCGGTGTGAGGAAAAAAAAAAAGTACGAAAGAGGCGACAAACTTGTGTGCTAAGCTAATGTTTTGGGCCAGCTGTTGACATTTGTACTCACTCGTCCATCTGGAGGAAGATGACTCCGCTGTCTCGGGAAAGCACGAGCTTCAAGCCCCTCCTCGCGCTCAAAATCTGACTCCAATTAGGATTCCACTGCTGCTGCGTTCAGGCGCCGTCGGACATTCTCCCTTCGATCCCTTCGGCGGCCAATCAAATCCGTAAATACGGGCTTTAAACGTGACGTTCGGGAGGGGGGCAAGAGGGAAGAGGAAAATCCTCCACTGATGGATTAAAGTTATGCTTTTATACAGCAGCAGCAGCGAATAGCTTTAAACAATTCTGCAGTAATTACACACTTGCGGTCAAAGTTGCGAGGTCTCTCCCGCCCCCTGCCGCACAAAGCCACCCTTTGCTACTCTATTTCTAAAACATACCATACATCAAACAGCTATTCGTTTTGTTGTTGTATTTTTTAACTCCAAGGCAGCGACATTTACAAGCGCATTTTTAAACGGTATGCGCGAATTACGAGAAACACTTAAAAGCAGCATTAAAAATGTATTTATGTCGGAATAAAACTCATTATGTGCTACAGAATAGGCGACACTGAAATAGAGCAGACTTCTGAAAAGAGCCCCCGACAGGCTAAAGTTATAAATATGTTTTAAACGAGAGCTGCAGAAGCTTAAGTAAGATTTAACCTCCATCTGCTCTTACGGAAATCCACACACACTCACAACAGCAGCACACAGACACCTTCCTCCAGTGGCTGCATAATAAATATACACATGTTAATTCTGGACAGACTGCATAGCAACGGGGGGGGGTGGCAAAAAACTGTCCCAGACAAATTAGAGCACTTTTCTCATGAGCAGTGTCCAAAATCAAAATACCTGTCAACAGGTGCAGAAGTCTGATTGAGAGTTACAGAAAACACTTGATTGCGGTGATTGGCTCAAAGAGTTGTTCAACAAAATATTAGTTTATGGGTCCCATCATGCTTGTTTGCTTGTTTTGTTGTTGTTGTTGTTGTTTTGTTTTATATGTATATTTCTGTTGAACCACAATTTAAAAGCAATGTCATGATTTTCACTAAATTTTAATTTATTATTACTTTTGTCAGTTTCAACTTATTTCAGTGACAGCTGTTTTTTTTCCTTCTTTAATGGGAGGGTGTGAATACATTTGAGGCCGACTGCATCCTAGCACATACATTCACACCACAGTCAGAGTAATGTTTATGTTGCACTGCACTTGTGGTTAAATACTTAACTGCATGTAGTTGTCTTAGTACTTATACCTTCTGTCTGATCCAATCTAATGTAATTACCGTTGTCTTCCTGAAGGTGTTCTTCCCTTCGTGGTCTTGGATGGCTTCTTGTGGTTTGCAGATCCGTGTGAATGACATGCAGGTGGAATGATCTGAAAACATGATTAAGCGTTCCTTAGAGAGGGCATGTCCCTCCCAGTATGAGGTACAAAACATGTTAAATATGTGTATTTTTTAACCGTGTCAGTGGATTTGTCTGTTTGTATTTTCTATAAATTTTTAATGTTTTTTGTTTCTGCACCCTCCTCCCAAATATCCACTTGTTTGATGCAGCCTCTCAGAATGAGTCCTGAGCTCTATTAGAGATGTCACAACAGTTGTATTAAGACGAGTCTGTCATTAGGCACAAAACTACAGTTTTGTGTTTTAAATGTATTACAGGACTGGAATAATGGAGGTGAACTTAATAGCAGCGCAGATAAACATGGGTCCCCCTCAAATGTCTGATGCAGATTACTACCTTGGAATAGTTGACAGCCAGTTCTGGTTCTGGTTGTAGTGTTGATGGATTCTGTTTTTTTTCTGTTTGAATGGACTTGCCCTATATTTCTTTATATTTGTTTGTATGCTAAACCTAGTTTCATGAACCCTGTTAAGGCCTCTCTAAACTGATTTTTTACCAGGCCTGTGTAACCCTGAGTCTGTCATGAATCTATCATACAAATCTTTTTGTTTTGGGTGTAGCTCGGGTCAGCTGAGCAGACCTTGTTTTGAAATGCTGTTTTCAAGGTTAAGAATAAATTTGTAATCTCAAATGTGCTCAGAAATTCTGCCAAGGAACTCGTTGTGACACAATAGAGCAGACAGGAAAACAGCAACCAAGTAAACCTTGGTGGTGAGATTGTTCTTTTTAGCGGCTGTTCCCAAGGTTAAGTTTCAGCCTCCCTTTGCTTATCCCCAGTCGAGTCATCCCAGTTGGAAACTACTGTGGTCTGTGCCCTGACAGCAGACTAAACTCAGTGTCAGCTGGGACACACTGAACTAAGTCGAACCAAATGGATTTACTGTCAATACAACAGGACACAGAGGATCGCAGGCTCACTTACACCCAAACTCCTGCTGTAGCTTTGGGGATTTATTTTAGTCCAGAGGGCCGAGACAAAACCTGAGCAAAGAGAGTGGGGCGGGAGTTACTGACACAAGCTTAGCTCCATGTTAATTTCTCAGTTTGTGGCTTTATGAAAACTAGACTGCTATATTTAAGTAGCTATACATAGACAAGCAAATGTTTTGACACTCGGGGCTGGGCTCCTTATTTCAGAATTTAGGGAATATCAGGTATTTAAACCTCTGTTGGACATTCTCTTCTTAATGTCACACGTCAGTCTGACTGGTGCTCAATTAGTGTCACAGCCTGGTGTCAGGGACTGTTATTTCAGCTCTTTTCACACATCTTTTGAACCATCTGGCTGCTGTGCTTGCCTCAAAGGATGTTCCACTGTCCTGTAAATGAAGACATACTGCTGACTCTTGAACTCTGGGATTTGTTCTGTATTGGCCATATTTCATTTCCTGACTTATAGGTCTCTGACTTATTAGTTGCTTTGGACTCTGCGCTGCTCTGCTTGGGTGTTTTTTCAAACAGGCAACTTTCTGACCTGCTGGGTTTGAGAATCACTGCGATGCTGTTTATTGAAGATCCTCCTGAGTGACACTTAATCACATATGCAGCGCTCCTCTCCTCTGTGCCGGTCTGCTCTTTCTAATAGCTCTTGTTGCTGTGTTGACAAAGGCCCACTTTAGGTAGCCACAAGCTTTTAAAGCTTCCCTGAGATGTTTGCGCTTCCCTCTCGCCTCAGCGCTACTTGGCACAGTCTAAGCGCTGCAGTGAAGACTCCTGTTGTAATAAATCCTGACTTTCCCTTCACCAGACATGTTTGTAAAGCTGTTTCTAAGTCATGTGGATGTTGAGGAGCACAGTGTAAAGAGGAAAAACCTTGGTGTTTTCTACAAAACTACCACCTTTTCAGTTTTTAAAAGCCTTTTTTTCTCCCCCTTATTTTTTTGTCTGATTCTGGCTGATGAAAGTTTTATGACCTTGATTCACAAACAAACAAAGAAGGTGTGAGAGAATTTCTTACTTATAAAATAACCTTTTTCTCTCTTGAAAAGATAACACAGATCAAGGTCAATAGTCCTGAATAAAACACAACATTATTTACAGAGTAGTTTCTTTGTTTGTTATATTTCTTTGGAGCTCCCTCATGAAGTTGCAGCAGTTTGTGTTCACTCAATTTATTTTTGTGCTCCATCAAAAACATTTCAGGGAAGGCTGAAAGAAAAATCAAATGAATTGACTCAAAATCATCACATAGAGTAATGTGTTAAAAGGAAATTCAAAACACGAGTTGTAAGAAAACACTGCAGCTAAATATTTTACTGCTGCAACTTACAATTATTTTTGGAAATTTTTTTTAATTCTTCCATCAACCTTACTAGAGACAAGAAACGAGTGGCAGGTCCAAAACAGTCCCAAATGCAAAGATATTCAATTTAGAAAAACCTATGGAAGGCAGAAAATCCTTAAAATTGTGCACAGGAATTGGCAGTGATATTGCGTGATAAATTGCTTGAACTAATCATCAGCTGTAGACAATTTTTCTTTTCAATCAGCTCATTGATAAATCGACTAATTGTTTCAGCTATTAAATGTGCACATTTAAAATCTACATTTTTAATACCACCACAATGGATACTATAGGTATCATCAAGTCATTAAACACAGGATTCAAACCAAGATTTATTCAAATTGTTCAAATATTTGAAGCCATTTCCAAATACATGTTTGAGCTTCATGTGCTTTGGGAGCGCTGTTACAGCAGCAGCAGCAGAGAAGTCATTCCAGGGCCACTGAAAAGACACAGCATCCCTCTCATTAGCACAAATTATTACAAGCCTCCAGTGACAGGGTGCGGAGCAGTTTATTGGTCCAGACTCTCACTGGATAAAATCATACATGAACAAATGGAGCCCTAAGCAGCACCAGTTAAACTGTGGTGTATCGAGCCGCACCGGGACAGGATCGGAAAGGAGAGTTCCCACTGGGGAAATCAGCCAGGAAGACGGGGTTGTAAGAGGGTGAAGTTTCTATCAAGGCCTGCCGCTTCTTACGGTCACGCTTCTGGTAGCGGAAGTTAAAGGGCGGACGCAGAGCCAGAAGGCCCGGGACTTCTTCAGAGGACGAACCATAAGGCCCAGCGCTGGACGGCTGCTGTTGCTGGTTTGTTAAACTTTCAGCAGACTCACTGGAAGAAGAAGAAGAGCTGAGAGCGACGGAAGGGTTAACGCCAACAGAGGGGTCGAGGGCCACCGGGTCGACAGGTGCGGGGTCGACAGGTGCGGGGTCGAACGGTGCGGGGTCGAACGGTGCTGGCAGAGCGTCGGTGGGTGACGGGGGATCAAAGGGAGCAGGCTGCGGATCGTTTCCTGCGTCATCAATTATGGGTGGAAAAGTTGGGATTGCGGGTTGGGGGAGGTCGTGACCTTGTGGCTGCACTGGTCTGAGGTGGTCCACATTCTGGAGACAAACCAGACAAGATCACAACAAAATAATAATGTCACAAAGCTACAAGTGTCAGTCATGCAGTATTACAACACACGAAGAAGAACTGAGAAGACAGCATGATTATAGCACAGAACCTCAACCTTTTAAGAGACATGTAAGATACTGCAGAATATATCACCAGGGGAAACCATTCAGAGAATTACATTATCACTCTAGAGGCTGCTTTACTAAAATCTGAAACTAAACAGAACCTAAACCATTCATCAAAACTAGGTCAGGCATTGACTTATTATATTCCCAGTGTGCAGTGTGAAGTTACTGCCGCCTCATGTTACAGTTACTCCCTTACTGACATACATCTGCATGTGAGTGTTCTGTTCATTCTTGGCTTGCACGTGTTCGAACTGTTGTGATTGCTAAACATCTGTGCTGCTGTTTTCCTGTGTTTATTGTGCTGTCATGCTTCGCAGATTATAACAGAGGACAATTAAAACAATTCGATTTGGTCTGCGAGTCAAATTTCGCATGCATACTGAAGGTCAGAGTGTCCTAATTTCATTTAATTTATTCTCATCTTGTTTATTTTCCCCCTTTGTTTTTAAGAAAGAACTATAATGTCATGCTAAGATGATGTAGGTAAGCTGGATGTTCTTAATTTAAACATATCGAATACACAATTGTTGTAATTGCTGTCGTCTCCTGTTAGTAATTATTTTTCCCGAGCAATAAAATAATAAATACGTCTTAGTTGCCTCCTTTACCTGTATTTTAAACATCTCGCAGGACACCTGAGCTTCAGGATCGGCGTTCATGTCTCCATGCACAGAACCTGTACAGAAACCTGCAGTCTGAGAGAAAAACAAGTTTGAAGAATTTCTTTTAGATGACTCCATGTCAATACAAAAAACAAAGCAACATAATAGAGCGGGAGGGAGTCGAAATAAATAAAAAAGGGAAGATTTCCTGTCAGGTTTCTTTAATAAAAGAACCAATTACTGAAGCCTCTTAGTGGTGTCAGTTTTAAACATAGAAATTAATTTGTCATGTCATCAAGTGACACTCCCTGGAGCTGCTTCATTGATAGTAAACAACATGCCGGCTGATCGATGTTTAATAGAGTTTTCGCAACAACATTAATTAGTGTCACACTGTCAGCGTAATAATCATTCTTTTAATGACGGGAGCTATTTCAGACAATGTTGTTTGATCAATTCAAGGAGTGGAATGACGTGCAGCTGTTTTCACTTACACACCTTCACTTTGTTGGATTCACCTGCAAAATCCATACAGCTCTGCTACCAAATTCTACCTTTACGACTGCATTTTTCAAAAATTCTTGTTCTTTCTACATACAAAAGAAAGCTGCAATATAAGAACCACCTGTTCATTTAATTTTGTGCACACAAACTTTAAAAAGAGCCTTGACAATAAACAATAAATATACACATTTCTAACAATTTCACAGAAAACTGAAGAACTAAAGAAAACTTCATAGAATTTGATTGCACAAAATTATCAGATAAAGAGGGATGTGACCAGTATTTTAAACTCATGTGGCTAGATAACTTAGAATGTTGAATAAGTTGACTCTGGTTGAGTACCTCTGTGTCAGATTCGATTGTCAGCCGCTGGCAGGTGCCTCTTTCTGTTATTCCCTCTGGACACTCTTGAACTGTATACTCCACAAAGGTGGCTTTTACTGGCACAGTCTGAAATATATTTTGAAAAAAAATGGTTAGAAAAGGGCAAATTGCACAAATAAACACATCCACACACACAGGCAGAAATAGAAGTGGTGTAGTTTTGTGCTGTAATGTACTGTAACAGCTATTGTTTTGGTGTTAGAACCCAAAGCTGGACTATCATAATGCAAAGAGGTGCAATATACTGAGCTTTGGTCCCCAAGCAAACTATTCAGCTTCTCATTTGCTCTCCAAACAAAAGTCGGGTCACATAATAATGTCTAAAGCACCTTTGATAATCCTTTGCAATGTTGCCAGACTCGTCTATTACTATTGTATTATGGTTATTGTTGAGCAGTAATGATTCTCATCTGGCGCATAGAAGCTCAAAACTGCACTGTACCGTCTGTTGAGATTTTTCTTAAACGTCTTTCCCCATAAAGATAACGTTCAGCACGCTGTTGAGCAATGACATCAGCCCCAGAGCATCGTTTCTTCCGCCAGTGTTTAGAACGTGCGGTTGTACCTGTGCTGCAGCTCTCATGATCTTTTTAACTCCAAGTCCTGCACCCAGAGTAGACTGCCTCTTATACTGGGACAGAGTGACCCGGGCAGCAGTCACGGCCTTCGGACTGTCTTCAGGAAGCAGGAGAGGGCAGGTTGGACAGGTCTGCTGCAGCTTCTCTGGGGGGTCTGCAGGGACCAGAGGGAGATGATAAGAATGATTCTACAAACTTTTGCATTGAAATGACATCAACAAAACATTATACAGGTTATGTTAAAGCATTAATATAGATTAAAATCAGAATACTATGAGCGATTAAGGGACATCTATGGTTTGGTGACTTTTGCAAATTATCAGCATACAACCAAGAAAAAGATGTAATCACCCAAAACAAACAAACAAAGAAAACGTTTATGGGTTTGCAGGGCCATGGAGTAAACTACATATATATACATATACATATACATATATATACATTTTCATGGCCGACATTTTAATTTCTCATGGTGGGAAATACACAAGTGTAGCTAATTATTAATTAATTATGGCTCAGTTCCATTTAGCTCTGCCAGTAAGCCATCGTTTATGTGATTAGTTACACCTGCGTGTGACAAATGCAAATGTCCACAGTGAGATACCTTTCTTTCCTTTTCTTGTACTGAATGATGTCACTCATATCTATGATTTTAACAATTCTACAATTCTATAATTTCTAAATTTTCTTTTATCCAAAGCATCTGAGAACGGATACAACACAAGCAAGGAACTAACTTGATACTTTCTTCATTTTACAATTTAAATCAGTCCCTTCCAGTTGAAAGATCTGTATGATGCCACGTGAATTATTTCCAGAAACCATACAGTATGCCATAAAGCACAATACAGGAAAAGTCATGTCAAAATTTCACTCGATTTAATCATTAAAAGCTGCTGTGTCTCATACACTCTGTACACAACTGGCATTCTACACAAACGTATCAACGTGATGTAATGTGTAGCAACATAACTGTATGCTGACGTTACCTGGCACCAGAGCGCAGTCGTAGCTGTACAGGTAAGAGTAGCCCTCCGGTGTGTGCAGAATGGTGGTGTTGCAGTTGCCAGAGACTTGCTAAAAATGACAAAAACAGACAAAATACATTATTGGCACAATTACAGCCCCTTTAGTAGATGAATGCTACCTTTAGTAGTAGACTGGGCAACAAATTAAAAGTAAAAGTCTGACTTGTCATGTACTCTTCTGTCTAAATGAGGACCAAGTTTCACAAAGTGAGGACATAATATGCCAGTATCAAACAAACCCTTCAAAATAAATGTGTCTTAAACTTTAGTGTGCCTTTATTAGGCTGCCCCCCCTTTTTGTTTTTTTCTTTTTTACAATGTAAGTACGGGTCCTCACAGGTATAGTACAAGGACAGGCACGTGTGCTTGTTTGTATATGTGTGTGTGTCCTACTGTTTCCATGAATGGTCTGACGTCACAGCGTTTCCATGGTTTTGGGCTGCCTGTGTGACACTTGGTCTCCAGGACATCCAGGTCCAGGTAATATACATTGCCTGCTGGGCCCTGACATTCACAATACAAACACAGGTAGCAGAGAGTGGAGAGATAAACAGTGCTGTGTGGACAGGTTTTCCTACAGTAGTCTCATATGCACTAGCGTTTTTTTTTTTTTTTTTTTTTTTTATGAGCAAAGTAGCAACCTATGCTTTTGCATATCCGAGGTTCCAATTTATGAGAAGTCAACTGCCAAGTACCATCCTTTGTTAAGTTGCATATTTAAGGAAGCCTTTAAGAGATGCTTTGTAATTCCACACTTTGTACAATATCGATTGGAGCTGCAGCACTGAAAACAAATGTCACCGCTTGGAGCAGGTGTAATGGCAGCTCTTTTAGGTCATGAAGTTGAACTGAGCCTCTTAAAACCTGATCTGTCCCACAGTCGGGCCACTATAGCCTTCAGCAGCTGACAGCATGAAGTTCATAAAGTGTGTTGTGCAAGGTTTGTCCCGGCAGTACTGGACCGAAATGACCTGGACTTTATTAACAGTCGCTTCGGTCCTAAAGGCCTTTTTTCATGAGGCGTGAAAAAGAGACGGCTTCTCATTCCAGGACATAAAATTATGTACTTTGATTTCAATGTTACATTTATTAAAAGGGACACGCACTGATGGCGGTCATTCACAGCAAAGTGCAGACAACAAATATTTATTGTTCTTTTCAGTCCTTAGTGGCTGCACACTAATGTAATTGCTGCTATTTTTCAGAGCTTTGATTTGATCCAGTGGTTGCTAAACTGGGATCCAGAGACCACTGTGAGTCCTTGAGAAGCAGAGTTTAATTTCATTATCATTTCCCCAGACTGAGAGTCAGCACAATCTGACAATGTAAGAGAGTAATTTCTGATTAGAAGTTTGACTGTGCACATTCATTTTTAACAACGAAACACAAATCTTATCAAATGGGGTCTCTCTGATATGAAGACTGGCCATGGCTGGTTAAATCTATCAATGTGTATCTCTTTTTCGTTGGGATGTTTTGATATTACAGCAACGACTGGAGGGAAAATAACCTTTCCACTCCAGTTAAGCATGAACAAATCACCCAGTGACAGATTTTCACAACAACCTCGGGCAGTTTTTCCCACTGAGAATTAGCCTCTGTACTGACCTGAGCGTGCAGGTGGACGTTTGCAACGCGGTTGAGGGCAAACTTATAGCCTTCGGTGCGATCCTCATTGATGTAAGTGACGGCCAGCCGAGACAGCTTTTCCACTGCTTTGTCGTTGCAGGGTATAGGAGCCAGTTCAATGGGCATCAGTACAAAACCATCTCCATACACACGCACGGTGTGGATGGATAGCAGGGATGTTAGCAGCAATAATGTGCAGATGGATTTGTCCATGGTGGCACAGGTTTAGACAGGAGCTCAAAGACAGAGCTGCTTTAAAGTGAAGTTTGTTCTCTTGTGTTTGCCTTCAATCGAGGCAGTGACTTTTGGAATGAAAACAGGAGGGAGCTGTTGAAATGAAGCCAAGGACAAAGTTTATTTGATGGCAGAGAGCTGATATTTGTGAATGAATGTTCCAGGGATTTATTTAACCCAAGGAACACTCATTCATTTAAGACAAATAGAGTGAATGTCAAAACTGTCACTCATAGTACTCCTGTGTTCATAAGCTGCAATACTAAGATTTAGGGCTTTTTTACCATCAGTGCAGGAGTTATTTTCAAGCTGATCAAAACCGTCTGTGGTATATTTGTGTAAACCAGTTTGGTGCTGTAGATCCTCATTACATTATAATGAAGCCAGAGAGTGTGTGTACATTGTGGGGTAAGTTTTAGTGGCTGTAATGTTGTCATATCACCATTAGGGGTCACTGTGTGTCTGATGTGCCCTACTGGAGGGAAATCTGTTGGTCCACCAGGCAGAACTGGGCTAATGATTCACTGATATCCAGTTAATTGCTTCCAGCATTATACTTGCTGTTGTCTTGGAACCTCATAACTCTGATATTTGTGTTTCCTGTCTTAATTTTACTGCAAAACCCAGTGGCCCTTAATCTGACCAAATTTACCTCATTGTGGTAAAAGAGTAATGGTAATTATTTCAGCAGTTCCAGACCAGTGTGTTGTTGTTTACGAAAGCATGTATTCATATGAATGTGTTTTAAATTGGATGTACAGTACAAATTTATTTTTTTTTTGTTTGTTTGTTTCAAAGGCGTAAACAGTGAGCCAGGCTCCGCCGTGTGTTGTGGGTGGGGTTCACACTTTTAGAGCAGTCAGATTGGTTCCATTGTTCATGACAAGATCGATTAATGTCTGTAACAGCAGCTCCGTACACACTGGGACACAGGCGAGCTCACACACAGAGCCTCCCTATCTCTCTGTCTCTCTCACACACATTTGATTTATTACAATTGTTGTACAGAAACAAAGAAAACCCTTTCTGTGGACACATACAACATAAGAAATTTGGATGTTTGGCATTATTTGCCCACTGGCCGAGAGATGGGAAGATCAGCACCACTCTTATGTCTGTGTGTTAAATCTGGAGCTGGGAGACAGTTAGCTCAACATAAAGAGTGGCAACAGGGGGAAACAGTTAGACTGGTTATGGATTAAACAAAAGAAACACAGACGGGTGACAAATTAAGGGAAAAACCAGCATAAAGCGTCTCAGTAAGCTACAGAGCCCCTTGGCATTGATTCTGTGAGTCTCTAAAATTCTACTGGAGGGATAAACACTGTTCTTCCAAAAGATATCGCCCCGTTTGGTGTTGGTGGAGAGTGCTGTCTAGCCATTGACTATATATAAAGATGGATGAACCCTCCGTGACGTCAACACCAGTGTGGTGGCTCCGGCTGTCACCATCTTGACAGTGCCTGACTCCTGCTAACTCCCAGCTAATCCAAATGAGCAAAGAGGTGGAGCGTGAGCAGAGTTGATGTGTACCATGTGTACGTGTCCGGGCCATGGACTGTGACAGTATCCACCTGTCACTCAAAGTGTCCATGCCCTTAATAATGCATAACTTTAAGCCTTAATACAATTGAAACGAGTGACCTACATAAAATTCACCCCTTTATACCGTTGTCATGAACAGGGAAAATAGGAATAGAGACCACAAGATTAGAAACATGTTATTACTGTACTAAAGTTGTGCATTTTAACATGGGAATCCAAGGCTTTTGGAGTAAGTCTCAAGCGGATATTCAAGGAACTGCAGCTTTTGGCACATCCACATTGGCCTCATTTGTCATCCCTGGAGGTTTCCGGGTGTTCAACTTGGTGATTGTAAAAGTTATAGTATATGATTCACATAATTTTCATACACAGTAAACCATTCAGTAGCCCTTTGTATCCAAACTCATGGACGACGCCACTCCCATCAGGACAGAAATGTGTCATCATACACTGTTGCCCATAAAGTTGGAATAATTTTTGTTTTCAGACACGTTCCTCTTTTTATTTTATTTATACACATCAGTAATCACTTCTGACCAGGTTAGATGGTTACATACTGAGTCCCAGTGACCAGGTGAAACCAATTCTGACTTTGGGATCTGACTGAAGAGTGGGACGTCCTGCCCGTTGACACCATCAACAAGCTTGTGGACAGTACACCACGATGTCTTAACGCATTGATCCGTGTCAGGGGTGGCCATGCTCAATATTAGTGACTGTGTGACATTTGAAAGACTAATATTGGACATTCTAATGCATTTAATCCCCTCGAATATGTGTTTCCTGTTATATGACCAAGGTTGAAAAATTGAAACAAATCCCTTAATCCTATTTTTCAATACCCCAATTTAGTCTAAGCCTGAATACACAGTTTGCAACAGTTAATTGTGGTTACATTTTTACTGTGGTATGTACTGTATATCATTACAGTTTTGGGAAGACATACACTTTATCTATGAAGAATAAATTGCATTGTCACAATAATCAGGTAAAAAAAAATAAAAATTATTCCAACTTTATGGGTATGATAAAGGTGATCACTCAGAACTACTTTGTATTGAGTTACAGTGACTCTTTCCTCTGACTGGACAAGTGGACCCAAATCATGGCAGCAAACTGCCCTCACAGCACAAGAGAGCCACCAGACCCCCCTCACAAGAAGGGTCAAGGGTTCAGGTTTTTCCTTTAATTTGTCACCTATTTTTACTTAGAATGTATTAACCCATCACCATTCACCAGAGCATTTAGTTTGTTGGGCTCTATTGCACATAACGATTTAACAAGTATGTGCCCCTACAGATGACAGGAACTTTATGTTCTGCTGTGTAAGCACTCTTACTACAAAGTAGTAGCTGTGATGTTGGTGTCTCGAAATTGTTTGCAACTTTTGAGGCTTTGTGATGTGTAATTGTGCTGATGCCATTCAAAATCCAGCAGCAGTCCCTTTGGTTAATCAGTGAGGAGTTGGTAGATGTAGTTTGTTACCTTTGGATAGAGCCACACTAGCTCTGTTCACCTGTTTCCAGTCTCTGTGCTAAGCCATGCAAAGTGGCTGCTGGCCAGATGAGAAATAAAGGATATTTCCCAAACCAGGGTCAAACTATTCTTTCAAACTAAGATCGATCAGTTGAGGCATCAGTGGGTATAAAGGCCGTGACCTTGTTTTTATGTTTCATGCGGCCGATTTTCCCTTCGGTGGTGGATTTGGTTGTAAGTACACCTTGAGTGGCGAAAATTTCTAACATCATATTCAAGTAAAGTGGGTTCTTTTTTGCAAGCATCTGTCCAGGGATAATCATTTAATCCATTTCAAATATTCAGTGAACCAGGTTCAGCTCTTAACACAGGCTGAAGGAGGGAGTGAGGGAGGGAGAGAGAAAGAGAGAGAGAGAGAGAGAGAGGCTCATTCGGCTGAACAAATTCTACTAATATCAAGAAGAAAAAAAAAAGCTGCCTCAGTGTTGTGTGTGTCTTTGTGTATGTGGGTTTTCATACAAGAGAATGTGAACTGGTGTTTGTCTGTGTGCACATTTGACCGTGCAGAGCCATGCATTCATGCGTCAGTGTTACCGGGAGCCAGTTGTGTTGCAGCAGAAAGCAGAAAGAGTCTGTGGGGGAGAGATAAGAACGGCGAGGCTGCTCCAAGGACTCGCTCTACCAGCACAACGCCAGACCCAAGTTAGACAAACCTCCTTTGATGTGAGCACGGAGTAATCTCCCCTTCTGCTCGCTGCACAGAGATGCTATGCTGTAGTGATGCCCAGGCCCAGATACGAGGGGGCTGCTGCCACGGGGGCCCCTGCTGTTCACTTTGTACAGGGATGGGCTGGGAGTTAGGAGAAGAGAAGAGAAGAGAAGAGAAGAGAAGAGAAGAGAAGAGAAGAGAAGAGAAGAGAAGAGAAGAGAAGAGAAGAGGAGCGGAATTTCAGTGTGACTTGAGCTAGAACAGTGTTTTGAAAGATTTCACTGGAGTCACTTGTAGTGGGAAGTTTTACTCTGACATGCTCTAAATCCTGTTGCCGAGAAGTTCATTTGTATTGTTTTCAGTCGAGAATTTCACTCTACCACGGTCTAAATGCTGTTTCACAGACCTTTCCACCTTGCCAAGAACATATTTCTGGAGGAAATACTGGCAGAAATCTCCTCCTGTGTCACATCACTTGCCAGTAAAAGAGGAAAAGAATTGGTTTCTCTACTGCACAGCACATTTAAGAAAGAAAAAAAAAGGCCAGTGCCACTTCTGTTTCTAATCACATTCTACCTGGGATTTGGGTGTCCCAGTCAGAGTATTTACATTTTGTCTTTTATCATTACTTTGTCCATCTCTCACAGATACGTGTGAATAAATGGAACAAAATTACAGGATGGCAGCCTGCCTGTATCTTTAGAAAATCTTTCTCTTTATCTCCATCTCACATGCTTTCATTCACATATGCACTATCTTCGCCTTCGTCTCTCCTCTTTTGCATTTTATCTCCGACTCTCTTCACTTTTCTCAGTTTTTTTGTTTCTTTTCACATGATGCTGCTGGGATTTCTTTCTTATCTTATTGGTCACAGTCTGCCCAGAGAAGGGAAGACATTAGGACAGAGAGAGAGAGAGAGAGAGAGAGAGAGAGAGGAGGAGCAAGAAGGATAATTCCCTCATTTAATTGGTTTCAAACTTTTTCCCCCCTGGACGACCTGTTTCCTCCACTGTTGTGGCCAAAACATGGACATTGATGCTAAACCCATTAAATTTCACTGTAATTGGTCAAGGCCTGAGCTCATGTTAGCAAAGCTTTCACAGTTGATTGGCATTCTCTGCAGCAGCGGCCACAAATCCCAGTCATTTTACTTGGATAAAGTAGTCAGCTTTAGACTCTTAATTTCCCCGTCATGTATTCAGGCTCTCTTTTTTGCAGCAGCAGGAAGCAAATGAGAAAAGAACACCCGCACAAAAACATCCCTTCTTATGTGAGAAGTT